ATCAAATGGCCTGAACGACAACAAAAGGCAAAAATGCCTTGCCACGGAACGTATTAATAGTGGACGGAAATAACATTAAACACATCCTCCCGATAAAACTATTTCGTTAAATGCCTCCTCCTCCGTTCTGTTGTTTACATGGCACTCTATGAGATGTTGGACCAACGTTCAAGAAAATCATCATTTTCGGCGATATCTCCAATAAACTTGCATTAATGTACGTTATAGGGTTCCGTTCAAAGTATAATTGCGTGACGGGCAAATTAGGCTTGTAAAGCACCGATTCCAACGAAGTGAATTTGTTCCCCGACAAATTTAAATATCGAAGCTTCTTCATGAATTGACACCAATCTGGCGGCAAATTACTCAGATCATTGTCGTCTAGATACAATTCTTCTAGCAGCTCCTGATTTTGAAACGAATCCACGTAGATATCCTGGATCATGTTCCCGGTTAGGAATAATTCCCTTAAATTTCTCAGATTGTAAAAGCTGTTGATCGTTATATGAATTATGCGGTTACAATTCAACGAGAGCGTAGTTATGTTTGAATGCGTTGAAACGGAAAGGGCGTCGATCGAATTACTATCTAATACAAGAACCTTTAGCAAGTGCAGATCTTTAATCATGTTGAAGTCAAAATTCGATAATGAGTTATGGGAAAGGTTCAAGTATTGGAGACTGAATAGATTTTCGATCGAGTCACGGATATCGTAGATTTCATTGTTCGTTATCGAGAGGTTCACCAAGTTTTGCATCGATTTCAAATCAACGTAGGAATAACTTAATGACCTGATATTATTATAGTCTAACGTTAACGATAACAGATTGTTCAGTCCTCTGAATGAAAATCTTGAAATTCTGTTCTTACTAAGATCAAGATGCATCAACGTGGACGGTAGAGTCATCTGCGATAAAGATGAAGAAATTTCGTTTCCAGAGAGGTTCAAATGTATCAGATTTGGAAATGGATTTAACCATGGATTCTCAATTGAGACTCTTATGTCGTTTATTGAAGCGTATGATAAATCCAAATATTCAAGTTCAGGATACTTGCTTGGTATTATTACTGATTGCGAATAATAGTCATTACGATCTTGATGATCAAGATTTAATATCTTCAGGTGTGAAATATTGCCAAAAGAGAATAAATTACTTGCAAAGATTCTATTTCCTCGAAGGTCAAGATATTTCAAATTTGGCACGTTCTCAAAAGATCCTTCCTTAATATTAACATCAGTATTTCTTATGATGATACATCTTAGAGTGGAAGATGAAATAGAGTTTCTATCAAAGCTTGCAGAACTAGTGAGTTTCAGTATTAACGTTTCATTCGCACAGATATTCGCCACATCTTCCAGCTCGATAGCTCCAATGACGAGAGACACGAAAGTTGAAACTATTGCCAGAACGATCAACGGCTTCATGCTGAAGGATTTCTGAAAGTGGAATATAAAGTTTCATTGCATTTCTTAATAAGAAATAAAAACGAAAAAGCTGCGTTACTTGTTACAAGCAATATTAACAGTACGGTGAAACATTGATTATCGAATATCGAAACGTCGATTATTTGAATTTCCGGTTATCCGAACACAGCCTAATTATGTATATACATTTAAACTGCATATCGAGCAATGTTTGCAACAATTTTGAATATGAACATGTATCCTTGTCTAAAATACCTTATTTTAGTGCCTCATCTAATCCAAAAGTGAACTGTCTCTCATTGATATCATGAAATTAAAAAATAAATTAAATGTCATTGAAACGTTATTGAATTAAATATTTAAGAAAAAAAAAATACATACAATTTAGTCATAGAATATGACGTTAGAAAATGTACAATTAACAACATTAAAAATATTGTTAGAATTTCAAAGTAACTTAGATAATAAAAGCAATTTTCGTTGTATAGAAGTTTGAAAGTAATAAATGATGATGATTAGATCGAGCTGTGTACGTACAAATAGATCATGCATTAATTCAAGATAAAGAGATAATGAAAATTTCACACAGCAGACATACATTACGTAATACATTAAACACATATACACGTATAACGTATAAACATCTGTATTTGAAAACTGTATAATTTCTATTTGATGTATGACGGGATCATAAATTTGATTGTTTCAGAGCGATTAGTCGAACGGATTTATTTGCCAATTAGTTCGGATAATCAATGTTCTACTATAAATTGCATAAATTAACTCATAACTCGTAACTCATAACAATAACAATTTATTCATAATTTTTAGCAAACAATTTTGTTAATATAGAATACTGAGACAAGCACTGTTAAATTCAACAAAAAAAAATGCAAACTAACAAGCTTTATTAATTTGTTATAATGTTATAACATTGCCAAACAATAATTTCACTTGTATTCACATACGTACATCTATTTGACAGCTTGTAGTCTTCTTTCTACCGATCAGAGTAACTTTGAACACTGTCAATGAAGTAGAAGTGACGATGAGTGATATCATTTCTACTACTTATATATCTATATATACA